GTAAATAAGTGTGCTAGTCATGCTTTTTGTGTATATATCCTTAGTAATTATCCAATTTTATGAATTCAAGTTTTTATTGTAAAAGTATGCTATGTATTGTATATGATGGATAATTGCCTAAATAAATAAATAAAATAAAATAAAAAATCTACCGTTGGAGAACCTACTTTACCAATTATATTTTTTTTTTAGATTTTGAAATTTATTTACGCTATCAAAATTTACATGTGTTACATAAATGTCACGATTTTTAAATAAATGCAGCGAGGGAGGGCGAATTGACTATACAATCTTCGAGTCAGCCACTCCGCAATATAAGGTTAATTTCAGAAAGTAAAAAAAAAACACTTTTGTTCCCTTATACCTACTGTATTGAACTGGAGACGGTTATAATCTCATTTTTCTTTAGATAATCTCCGCACATTCGAAGAATCGAGTGCCTTGTTAAATACAAGAGACATAATAATAAATAATAATACATAAATACATAATAAATTGGGAACCAATATACAATTTAGATACCGTTCATCTACTTAATCTTTATATGCATTACGTTACGTTATATGTTTACCTGCTAACAGCAATTTAGATTAGTTTTTTTTAGATTTTTAAATTTATTTACGCTTTCAAGTATATTACATTGTTACATATATCACAACAATTTTTTTTAAATAAATACAGCGAGGGAGGGCGAATTGACTATACAGTCTTCAAGTCAGCCACTCCGCTAACTACAGTTAGTTACTTAACGTTAAACCATGTATGACAATACGATTAGATAATACAAAATATATATGAGCGTTGTTAAAGGTGTGAATATAAATGTGTAATAAAGGTGGCTATAGGTGCCTGGTGATGAATGCGTGCACGTGCCTATATAGCTCCCCGCGCTGCGGCGGAGCGGAGGGCTATAGTTCTAGAGCTAGTGCCTATATAGCTACCCCGGGGGTGGAGGAACCCCATTATTGAAGGTACCGGTACTGGTGACGTACCAATGGACAGGGTATTTTTTTACGTACCCAGCGAGCAAGCTGATATTGGCCCAATATATTGGCAAAACAATATTGGTTGGGCCAATATCACCAGGCCAATATTGGACCAATATATAGGCTGATATTGGTCCAATATTGGCAAAACAATATTGGGCCAATATCACCAGACCGATATTGGACCAATATAGGCAAGCCAATATATAGGCAAGCCAACATAGGTCCAATATGAACAACTTAGCGGCATTATCGGTAAGCTATAACATATAATATATAATAGGCGGGACCATGATTGGTTCATATCATAGACATTCTCGTACCATGCAGTTTCTGAGCACTTTAGCAGACATTTGACATAGAACATTAGCAGGCCCGTAGTGGCCGCTACGGAAGCACGGCAATGCCGTGGCACTATTTTAACAAACAAAAATTGTGCAGGGAACCAAGGAGCTGCATATACCAAGGAGATGAAACGACACATGCGTGGCGCCATTTTGGTGGAAAGATTGGATCTAAGCAGAATAGCTAACACAGGCGAATCGGCACACAGGGCAAGATAAATCTTAAAGAACTACTGATAATATCGTTATTAGTGTAATTACTAGTGACAACAGTAGTAGTAAAGCATTCAAGAAGTCATTCAATGTGATAATGGGATAGGGTTAGGGTTAGGAGATAGAGGAGGAGGAGGAGAAGGAGGAGGAGGAGGAGGAGGAGGAGGAGGAGGAGGAGGAGGAGGAGGAGGAGGAGGAGGAGGAGGAGGAGGAGGAGGAGGAAG